ACCAAATACTATCTAGTGTGAGGAATTATATTTCAGGTCATACTTATTAATTTACCATCATAGATTTTGTTTTTGAACCACCATAAATTTAACATAGATAGAGAGCAAAAACAAATGCAGGAACTGCATATTATTTGGACATATGCAATATTATGGAATTTGAATTTTCTAGCTTCCATTATTAGTTTGGTTGAATTATTAAACTCCGACAACCAATGAGGACTTAGATGCCTTGGAATATTTTGCTATTTGAAATTGAAATGCTAAGAACATCAATTTAAAATACATATGACACAACTTCCCTGTTGGCCAGTCGTTGCTGCATTTTTGGACCCAAAATTTCAACTCAACTTGCCACCATGGAAACAAAAGGTACATGTTGTCTGCCGAATTATGTGCTTGAGGGGCTTTGTGGCCAGGCTGATTGAAGGAGTGGTGTCCATAATTTTACAAAAAGATATCCGAATTTAATCATATTTGGCTGATTTTAACTCAAATCATATAGATGATAGTCATTAGATTGATGGGTCCGGTCCGTATTTAAAATCACATGGTAGGATATTTTTTAATCATCTTTTTCTTAATTTCTGGGATGGAATTTTCAGATTGGAATTTACATAAATATTTTTTTTATTTATATTTTTTTATTAATATAAATATTCAAGCTAATTTATACACATCTTAACTAATCCTATATAGATCTTATATAAACTTTTAATAATTTTAAAATTTATAAGATTATAACTGATAATTTATAGAAAATAAATATAAAATTTAATTAATTAAAACACATCCCTTATATTTCTTTCGATCTATCTTTGTGTAGAAATAAATGCATGTACAACCTAAATCAACACTTAAAAACAATCAATTTAAAGGCATTTAGCTAGGAAGTAAATGAATCTGATTAAGCATTTTTTTTTATTGACCTGATCTCAAATTTACGCACGCAATGAACCTACGAGCTGGATGTCCTCACACTCAGGGAATTAATGTTTTGCATGAGAACACATACCCTTGGATAGGCCATTGATCACTGACTTGAAGAGGAACAGAAAGGATGGGAATATGCATGGGATGCCATCACTGGCTAAGTAGCACTGTTTCCAACCTTATCAATGGACTTAATAGATTCTTAAGGCAAGAACTTGAAGACAAAACCCAAACGAAATTGTGTAAGATGTATGAATGGATCAACTCAGGCTGTACCCTGTATCCTGCTCAGACTAAATTCCAAGGAGTATACTCCACATGTTCCCAATGACCTTTCAATTCTCTCCATCGAACCTTTTCCCTTTCTAAAGAAGTATGAACTTTTTAATACTCGAAATTAACAGCCAAAATCTCCATTAACCTTCACTTAACCTTCGATGTGTTCATTTCCTCTTTTTTTATCCTATCGATCCTCTTCCTAGTTCTCCCTTTTGTGTTATGAACAAGTAAACTCCATCAAGAGTCTAAAACCATTTCCTCTACTAATTAATAGCATAAAATTTAGGATTCTATCTTGCAATAAATTTCATAACCTTACATTTTCATACTCCATGAAAGAAAACTTTTAACCGTTATAAAATTTGGATTGCCCCAACAAATTGACACAGGGCCTAATATGATTCAGGCTTCATAAAAAATAGAGGAGGACATAGTGACTCGATAAAAAAAGATTTATTATATTGATGAGATAAATCATTTATATTCAAATAAATATATTTATGAATCGTTTTACTACAACCTTTTTAATTCAATTCCAAAATCATAATGGAAAACAGATAATTTTTGTTTATTTTAAAACAAATTTGAGATCACTATATAAAAGTAATTCCATTTCTAGTTTAGCCAAAACTCCAAGGCATCCATAAATTAAATACTATGGTCCAAACATATAATCTCTCAAAAAAATAACAGAAAAAATATTTTAAAATTTAAATTAACATAGTTTTAATTAATGTATAAATTGGTTCAAGAATATTTTTTTATATTCAATTAAGAAAATTCCCAAATTGACTTTTGCCCCTCCCAAGCTTGAGGTTGGACAGTAACTAGGTAAAAATGAGGGTTTCAAAGTGAAGACAATTATCCATCCTGACAGACTCATCTCAATTATTTAACTTGAATTAAAAAAGCTGATGGTCTCTATGCTGTAGATCGTGACAAATGGGAAATTAATTTCCTATAGAAATAAATTTTTAATCGTGAATAATTTGGAAATATCTTTGGGTCCACAAATGGAGGGCCTGTGAAAGTTCTTTCTCAGACAAATTAAGCCATCGGTAGCGACAGTGAACTACTGTTGGATCAGGATCTTGGAAAAAATGTCCAAGGAAAACTAGACATATAGCACCTTAAATTTCACTACAAACGGAAGAGAGGTCATGCAAAATCCAATAGATTTTTTTTTTTCTTAGGACCTGTAATAAATATAAGATTGAGCTGTAAATAAAGTCATCATATCATATCTTATTAACAAAATATTAAGAGAAGTGTTTTACAAAACATTATTAATTTTAATAATATTTTATATATATTGAGTTTTATCATTTATTTTAATTTATTTTTTATAAAATTATTTTAATTTTGTGATCGGCTCTCATGTTTAATTAATGGGTTAATCAGCATAATTTAGATTTTTTTAAATTGATTTTTTTTAATAATATTTTGTTTTTTTATTGTTTTTCAATTTTAATTTTATTTTTTAAATTTTTTTATTGAGAATTAAGTTTCATAATTTGATTTTGATTTATTTTCTACATTATTATTTCATTCTTATGATCTACATTATAGGTTTAGTGGGTAATTGACCCAGTTGACTTGAGTTTTTTAATTGATATATTTTTTTATTTATCATTCACTATTTTATTGAATAAGAATTAAATTATATGATTTATTTTTATTTATTTTTTATAAAGTTATTACGGTCTTATTTTCCAAGTCGCGAGCTTAACAGATTAATCAGGGTTAACTCAAGTTTTTTTTTTAGATTTTTTTAGTTTTATTAGATTAATTAAAAATTATACTTTATAATTTATTTTAAAAAATGATCAGCACATTTTTTAATCATGCATTTATATAATTAAAAAAAATTACTTCGATTGAAACCTAGAGTTGGCTATTGAAAAAACATCAATCAATTTGTGCCTTTTCATTTGGTGTCCACAAAAATTGGCTTGGGAATTAAAAACATCTACAATTATTTTTGGAAGGCCAGTATGGTCCTAGGAATTCTAATAATTTTAAAAATATAGGTTTTACTGATTTGAATAAAAGAGCTGAATCCTTTAAGAAAAAGAGGTGCAAAGGAAAAGACAAAAACAAGTTGAAATCATCAAGAAAGCTGTATCAACTCAGAAGATAAAAAGAAGCAGCCCAAATCTTTAAGAGATCTTGTGGGGTGACTACAAACAGTTTGCCAAATTCTCCCGCCACTACCTTTGAATCAAATATTGTAATATTGTAACATTATTGAAGTGATAGCAGTTTGATGGATGACTTTGCAACAACCAATAACTTTTGAAGTTAGCTTGATCCACAGGCCTTTTGTCTCTGAACTATGCAAAGTTCAAACAGCTTTTGCAGCATTGTTTGCAAAAAATAGTCACTTCGGCTGGCCCCTTGATACATGAGAAGGCATATGGTAGAACAGTGAAAACACTGAAAAGAAGTTGTGTGTATATATATATATATATATATATATATATATGCAACATGCATGATGAAGTAATAATTGCTGGGCTTTACAAAATCATATATGAAAATTATAAATTTAATTTTAAAAAAAAAATTTAAAATTTTTTATTAAATAAATTTAGAGTTGTTTAAATGTTATGCAAAAATTAAATATTTTTTCGGATTTACATATTTAATTTAAGATTGAATTGTCACATATTATAAGTTATTCAAATGTTCAATTTCAATAAGTAATTCACACAAATTATTCATGATAAATCTTATAAATCCTTTTATAATAAAGTGATTATTATATCTTAAAATACTAATTTTTTTTTTATATTTTAAGTATTTATGTTATTATATTTTTCTCATTTTAAAAAATTAAAAACATAACCTTTTATTTATAGAAAAATCAAAATTATTTTAATTTTGTGATCGGCTCTCATGTTTAATTAATGGGTTAATCAGCATAATTTAGATTTTTTTAAATTGATTTTTTTTAATAATATTTTGTTTTTTTATTGTTTTTCAATTTTAATTTTATTTTTTAAATTTTTTTATTGAGAATTAAGTTTCATAATTTGATTTTGATTTATTTTCTACATTATTATTTCATTCTTATGATCTACATTATAGGTTTAGTGGGTAATTGACCCAGTTGACTTGAGTTTTTTAATTGATATATTTTTTTATTTATCATTCACTATTTTATTGAATAAGAATTAAATTATATGATTTATTTTTATTTATTTTTTATAAAGTTATTACGGTCTTATTTTCCAAGTCGCGAGCTTAACAGATTAATCAGGGTTAACTCAAGTTTTTTTTTTAGATTTTTTTAGTTTTATTAGATTAATTAAAAATTATACTTTATAATTTATTTTAAAAAATGATCAGCACATTTTTTAATCATGCATTTATATAATTAAAAAAAATTACTTCGATTGAAACCTAGAGTTGGCTATTGAAAAAACATCAATCAATTTGTGCCTTTTCATTTGGTGTCCACAAAAATTGGCTTTGGAATTAAAAACATCTACAATTATTTTTGGAAGGCCAGTATGGTCCTAGGAATTCTAATAATTTTAAAAATATAGGTTTTACTGATTTGAATAAAAGAGCTGAATCCTTTAAGAAAAAGAGGTGCAAAGGAAAAGACAAAAACAAGTTGAAATCATCAAGAAAGCTGTATCAACTCAGAAGATAAAAAGAAGCAGCCCAAATCTTTAAGAGATCTTGTGGGGTGACTACAAACAGTTTGCCAAATTCTCCCGCCACTACCTTTGAATCAAATATTGTAATATTGTAACATTATTGAAGTGATAGCAGTTTGATGGATGACTTTGCAACAACCAATAACTTTTGAAGTTAGCTTGATCCACAGGCCTTTTGTCTCTGAACTATGCAAAGTTCAAACAGCTTTTGCAGCATTGTTTGCAAAAAACAGTCACTTCGGCTGGCCCCTTGATACATGAGAAGGCATATGGTAGAACAGTGAAATCACTGAAAAGAAGTTGTGTATATATATATATATATATATATGCAACATGCAAGATGAAGTAATAATTGCTGGGCTTTACAAATGAAAATTATAAATTTAATTTTTTTAAAAAAATTTTAAAAATATCATTAAATAAATTTAGAGTTGTTTAAATATTATGCAAAGATTAAATATTTTTTCAAATTTAAATATTTAATTTAAGATTGAATTGTCACAAATTATAAGTTATTTAAATGTTCAATTTTAATAAGTAATTCACACAAACTATTCATGATAAATCTTATAAATCCTTTTAAGATAAAGTGAATGTTATACCTTAAAATATTAATTATTTTTTTATATATTTTAAATGTTTATGTTATTATATTTTTCTCCTTTTAAAAAATTAAAAACATAAATTTTTATTTATAGAAAAATATAAAAATAAAAAAATATCAATTTACTCTTTAAATAAATTTTTATTTACGAAGATAACCTAAAAATCTCATAAATACCAATTCTTAAGATCAACATGCATTATCATTATTATTTTTTTTATTACGTGGAAACGTACTAAAAAAACATGAATTGTTCTCTGGGCCTGACCCTGTTCTGCGATTTGTTTATTCCAATTAGGCCTCTTAGCTAGGCCTGCTTAAGTCCTCTCACTGGACTTGCATTGCCATTGAAAAACAAAACCCATTTGGCCCATTTCTCATAATTTCTATGTATTTTCCTTCACTGCTACACAGGGCAGAAGAGGTAGGTGCTACCCTACCCATCTCTTGCACTATGTTTCAGTCTGATAATTAAATTCCTTTTTCTTGGGATGCTTAGAACTTCTCACACATAAACATTTAAATCATGATTGAAATGATAGTGGGGATAATGGTTTAAAGTATTTTTTATTTAAAAATATATTAAAATAATATTTTTTTAATTTATAAAAATGATTTTTAATATAAACACATTAAATAATTTAAAAACATTTAGATCATATTTAGATCATATAATACAACCTATTTCAAATAAGATAATTTAAAAATATTAATATTTTTCTTAATCATAACTAATTTTTAACTTATAAAATTTTTTATAAGACTCGTATACCCGGTCTCGTAACAGCCCTAAAAAAAACAACTATTCACACACTTCATACCGTTTAAGTGTTCACAAAATTCATGAGTTACTGTATAATGGAATATAATTGAATGATTTGATCATTAATAATATTTGTATAATCAAGTATTACAACGCCATTTCATTTCTTTAATCTTTGGATGGTTCTCGCTGCTATACTACCAGGTATAACTCATCTAACCCGAAATCCTGGTTCTTGTTGGTGGTTGATATGCTTTGAAAGATCCCATTGTTGTGATTTTGTTAGGTTTGGGAGATTAGGGTCTGAAAAAATTGTTAAATCCTGTTAATCTTCATTATTAGTAGATCTGTTTTACATTGGGGTTTTAGATATCTCCAAGAAATGGAGCGTGTTACCAATAAACTTTCTAAACCCGCTTCAAATATATCTGAAATGGTCTCCAAATTTGCGAAGGCTTGCAAATTGAGATCTATTGGTGTTTTCTCCAATGACCACCGGTATCAAAACAAGCTCATTGGAAATAATGATGGCACGTTGATGGGTGAAGATAGTAGTGATGCTGCTGAGGAAACAGAATTTGATGATGAGAAAATCCATCCACAACCTGTTGTAGTTCCAAGCGAAAGCAAAATGTGCGGTGATAAGGATATTGTGGAGTTGTTTAACACAGTTTCTGCCTTGAAATTAGCTTATATTCAGCTTCAGTAAGCACCTATTCCCTATGATCCGGATAAGATTGTAGCTGCCGATGAACTTGTTGTGGTTCAGCTTGAAGCACTTTGTAAGTTCAAGAAGGCATTTAAGGAGAAGAAATTCTTAAAAACCAAGCTTAACCCCTCACGTTTTGATTGTCTACGATCAGAAATTGATGTTATTGAGAAGCTTTTAGAGAAATTGATGTCTCAAAATAGAGATAAAGATGCTGAGATTGTACGCCTGCAACAAGAACTCTACGATTTGGATTCAGGGAATATGGCATTAGTTGAGAAGATTAGAGAGAAAAGTTTGGAGAGAGAGACTTCGGGGATTTTGAATGTTTCCATGTTTGAAGATGCCTTCAAAAGAGCTTCGAAGTTGATTCATGACTTTGCGAGGACAATAATTAACTTGATGCAAACTCCGGTTTGGGATTTAAACCCGGCAGCAAAGTCCATTGAAAATGGGGTTGTTTATGCTAAAAGGTCAGGCAAGAAGTACGCCTTCGAAGCCTATATTGCACGCAGAATGTTTCATGGGCTATCACTTAAGTCCTATAACGTGGATGACGTTTTGCGGATTGATGATCCTGTTGAGTTCTTGAATAGAATATATGCGTGGGAAATAATAAAATAAAATTATTTATTTTTTTAAATTTTATTAGATAAATCTAGAGTTTTTTAAAAATTTATTATTTAAAGATTTGATTTTCTTTAACTTTGAATAGTTTTTTATAGGTTGAGTTGTTATAAACCACAAATTATCTAATTATCCGGTCTCCAATAATATAATACAAACGGATCATTAATGAGAAAACTTTAAATTACTCTTTAGAAGAGTTGCATTGTTATGACTAGAATGTTAACTTTTTTATTTTGTGATTTTTATAATTCTTCTGTTTAACAAATAATTATTATTAAAAAATAAAAGGTATAATTTATTATTTATTAAAAAATTTAAAAAACCTTATAGATTGACAAAATATCAATTTTTCCCTGAATAATATCAATATACTAATTCAAGATAATTTTAGAAATTAACTTAATCAAGTCCTTGATTTTTCATGTATTAATTATATTTTAATCTTTAATTTCTAAAATATATTTTAATCAAGTCATACTTAATTAAATCATCCCAATTTAATTTTTGGCTAATGGTTTTTAATGTGTATGATCATTATTTTTCTAACATATTGGTCCAAATATAAATTATAATTCTAATTAAATATAGTTAAATAAATTAAAAATTTTAATTTATTTATTAATTTGATATTAATTTATATTTGAAGATCATGTGCTTTATTTAGTAATGTGTTATGATTCCTTAAATATTAGAAAAGTCATTAGTGGTTTGATTTAACTTTTTAATATTTGGTTTCTCAGTATAATTAATATCTTTTTATCAATTTAACATTAAAGTATGAATTATATCTGTCATGTTAAATCATATTTGTTCTCTACCTTGATCAATTAAGAATTTCTAAGTCAATGCTATTTAAAAACAGATAAAATATTTTTTTTAATTCACATAGAGTGATAAATCTTCTCTTAATTACTTAAGTATCTTCATATAATTTATGCTAAACATAATGTTTGTCCTTTCATTAGCTCGATTAGAATAACATATAACATGATCAAAGTATAACATTCTCTGTATAAGATAATTTAGTAATCTCAAGTTTAAGGATTACTTACACAACTATTACGCGAGTCTTTTCATAAATATAGATGATCTCTTCATATAAAATTTTCATGCAAGACAATTCAGTGTATATATCTTATGACAAGCACATACATATTAGTTCTAAATATCTCATATATCCCATATTAGAAGAACAATTGCTTTATTTCATAAAAAAAACATAATGTATTAATTTCTATGACTCTAATAAATATCCAGTATTTAAAAAAATCTACCAGTAATATTTTAAAAATAATATTTTGATGGAATATAAATCTCATAATTATAACAACTTTATATTTTCTTTACAAAGTATTTTTTATCTCATTAACTTTATCTCTACTTTAAATTTATTAATTTATTATTAAAAATAAATTAAAATTTTATTAATAATAAATATTTATTTATATAATATAATAATCTCATTTATAACCAACCGATATCATTTTAAACTAACAGATACTGATTCTTTGATAGAAAATCCAAATTCAGAACTTTCCAATTTCTGCAGAAAAAAAGTACATGTTTATTGTTCATCCCATGATGGAGATGTCATTCTTTCGGAATCTAGACCAGAGGATGTTCGTATTGAGTGGCAAGCATCCGAGGACTCCTTTCTATCAAATATTCGCAAGACTGGCAAAGTGGGTTTGGATTCTTCAAGGGATTGCGACCTCAATTGATCCCATTTCACAAATATTTTCTGTGAACAGGGGAAGCAAATTCTCAGATGTTTACACGTATTCTGATGAAGAGAACAAGGAAGTTGTAGTCGTGTTCGATGGAGGACAATCTAACTTCAAAGTTGAGTTTACGGTCATGCCTGGGTTCAGAATTGGAAGCGCATTGCTGAAGTCTCGGGTTTATCTTTCTGAAATGAAACATTCCACGGGAACGTGATACATTGAAGATGCTGTAATGACGGGTATCTTTCCAGACCCGATCACCTTTCTGTTAAAATGATTAACATATTTAGGTTAAGTGAGTTGAGAATATGATAGAAAGTGAAATCTGGTGGCATTGAAACCCAGAAGCTTAGTGCCTGTACTTCTTCCAAGTTTTTTTTTTTTTTTATATATATATATATCTATATATGCTGCAAGCTGCTTGAAAATTGTTGCATGCTTCTCCTAGAACTGTAAATAAATAGCTAGGAATTGTTTTTGATTACTATCTCGAAATAGAAGACACACACACACACAGAGACACACACACAGACACACACATAGAAACAGAGGAAATATGTCACTTATCTTTTCTATTTTCTATTTTAAAAGGATAGAAACTCAATTTAACTGTATCTGAAATAGATTTATTATCTCTGTCTACATCACTTCAACTATTTATATTTTTGTTTCTTTTAACGATGCTAACATATGCCTTACATTTTTTCGCTTGTGTTTCTTTCTTGCTTATGAACAATTTAGTTAATTAAGCTAATCTTTGTGCTGTGGGTTTTTAGAGGCCTTGCTGTGTGCGGAACCATTTATATTGTGTAGAAAATAAGTGTAGAAAGTTCTTGGCAACATGCTAGCTTAATAAGCATGAACAATAAGAGTTAATTATGATAATCTTCAGGGTACAATGAGATGTTCCTGTCTTTTGATTGAGATTTGAGAGAGGCACAACTCTATAATGGGTTAAGTTTTAGGCCTCTCCATATCTATGATTGACATTCAAGAGGATCTATTAGCTTTTACTGACATAGAGGTGCATCAAGCTCTATTTTGTCTCTTCTGTGTTTTCGATGTTGTGCATCATTCAACAATGGGCTTTATTCCTTTCATATTTACTACTAACATTACAAAGATTCAACAGAGAGATTAGAAGAGAAGGATTGAGGGGAAGACAGGGACCGTGACACTAGTTGCAGAATCACTTGGGACTATTTATGTCAGTGCTGGCGTCATCGGGAGAGAACAAGTCCTTGCATAGCTCTCCATAGAATCTACCGACCAAATCAATGAAGACGGGACACTTCAGGTTTTTCCAGCAATACAATAGCTCTTCCACGTCCATTAAATCCCTCACTTGCCCCTCTTCAACCATCATCTCTACCAAATAGTTCTCGAAACTTCTGCACGCATCTTCTACATCTTCATCACCGAAGGTTTGCCTTTTCTTTTCCAAACTGGCCTTGATATAAGCTGGTGTAAGAGGTGATGGAAAGAGCATTCTTTCACACTCCTGTTCTGAGACGCTCCTAAGTTCCGAAACTCTGTCCGTCTTTCTCGACTTCCTAAGAGGATGAAAAACGCAGAGTAAAGAATTAAGAACTCGATTCTTTTTAGGAGCTTTTCTGGGTTTCTTGCTGCGACGACGAAGTTGAAGACCTCTTATAAAGACAGGTCTTCTGAGCTTGAATCTGAAGAATAACAGTAGTTTCTTGCATGGACTAAAAAGCTTGGATCTGAAGACAGCTAATGCTTTCATTTAATCTCTAATGATTGCAGCTAGATTGTTGTTGAAGAAATGGAACAGGATGCTGGCTTTTAGTGCTTCTAATTAGTTTAAGGAAAGAGGTAGGAAAGGCATATCATCGCAGAGAGAGAGAGTTCGCAGAAAATGGATACAATAAGTGGTTAGTTATGCCCTTCGTGCTTCTCTTTGTTATATTAGGGTTCATGTCCTGATGAAGGAGAGTGGCACACCATGAAGCTGACAAGAATCTTGATGTGGAGAAGAGTCGTAGGGAGACGTTTATCATTGGAGGCAAAGTTCCATTAAATTAAAAGGGGTCCTAGTCTTCCAATTTGTGAATAATCTACCAACTAATACGATCCCATTGTGGTTTTCAGATGGCTAGCAAGGCCAGAAGTGGAAGGCATGTTTACCACATATGCAACCTCATCTTGGTCAACAATTATAAAACAACCTTAGTGACTGGTGCTCTCTTTGGGCTAGACTCAAGCTCATAGAGCCCCATAACCATTCACATTGAGACCCGAATTGCTTAACTCACAAAACCCATCCTCGATTTGGGTTGTATCTTTTCTAGATTCATTGAAAGTCTGGTTGTTGGAATTGGTTCTGTAAAACATGTCATAAATTTTTTAATTTAAAATAAAATTTGAGATCCATTTATATTTTTGAGGTTAAAATAAGTTGAACTATGTTAAAAAAAGTTTTTGAGGTTAAAATAAGTTGAACTATGTAGGTTAAAAAAATATGAACTTTGTAATTCAACTTGAGTATATATTAACATGTTTTTTTTTAAAATAACAAATTAAAAATGAATGAAAAATGTTTTCAAAAAACTATTTAGATAAGAGAAGTTTCAAATCCAAAATAATTTTATGAATTGAATAATAAGCTCGTTGGTTTATAAGTTTAGATTTGAGTTTGGTCATGAAAAATATATTTGCTAATTCTTTAATAACTTTTAGTTATTAAAATATTTTAGTATATGAATTAATGGATTAATTATTATATGATAAGAATCAATGTATTCATGAATTATAAAAATTTTAATATTTAGTTGAAGAAACAAAGAAAAAAATATAAAAATAAATATATTTCTAGAATATTTTTGATGTGAATTTCTATCATTCCCAAACATTAGGATTTTCTCTTTTCTAATAATCTTCATCTCTTTTATTTGTAACCAAATACAATCTAGATTACGACATAATAAATTAGTTGAATGCCAAGAACTTCCATTCCTTGTTATTAGACTGTCTTTTTTCCCCCCACAGAGTATTAAACTTCATATTTTGTCAAGTTTTTCTTTCTATGAAATGTGGGCTAATTTAATTCTCTAGTATTAATAATTAACTAAGTTTGTTTTCTCAATTCTAGCTGTGATTTCACTCTTCACATCAACATTGGTAGTTAGGAATTTGCTTAAGGTCCCAACAATTTTTCAGAAGATGGGTGTCATTGTTCTTGTGATCCGTACATGATTTCTAAATTATGGAAACAAGATTCAGCTCTAGTGCTAATCTAATTATTGATTACAAATCATTGCCAACTATTTTTTTTTTTTGGTTCCTCTAGCACAGCCTAGCTAGTTTCTAAACTCAGTTAAAGTTGTGCCCAAACAAATAAGTAGCTGACCAGCGCGTGGCCGGCCTTAAATTATTCCTAATTTTACACAAATTAGTCGATATTTTTATGAAACTAAAAATATTTTTTTTAAAAAAAAACATAGCATAATTTTTAGGCTGTGTTAGGAACAATACAACTCTTTTTTTTTTTAAAAAATATAAAGTTTGGTATTTGGAACTCGCAACCTACTAAATTATTAAAATAGAAAATAAAATTCAATAGGTTACGTTGTTTTAAATATTTTGAACCTTTGAAGAAAAAGTTGTGAAGGAGGTTGTGCTGTCATGAACACCGCCATATTTATATCTGTTAAAAAAAATTAAAATTGGTTGTGCTATTGATTACAATGCAACACAGAAATTGTGTTATTTCTCTCTATTTTTTTTAAAGCTTGCTCTAGTTTGTCAAAAAAATTTTGGCATGTGTTGGTGAAATAAAAAGAAATTTAATTTTTTTTTTTTAGATTAATATGAATGTATGGTTAGCTTGCATAAATCTTAAAATTAGATCAGTTAAACCCTCGGGGTTTAATCTCTCTTGTAACATGACCGGTGATTACCTTCCTTGGCCTGAGTTCGATTCAGAATCCATCATTGATTACAACCATGGATGAGCATGAACCTTGCATGAATGTGAGTGGACAGACATTTACTATCGAATAATTGCTCCACAGAGATGTTATCAATGAATTCGGCTAATTTACAGAGCTATTTTCTCCCCTGAAGTTTGGAGAAACGCAGTTTCATCTTCACCTGGGAAACACAAGTGAAAGAACCTGTAAAGTGCTTGGTAGGGACCAGAAAGAGACGGTGCAGCACCAGGCATGTGGGACAACTTGTGACATTAAGCAGTTGGAAAGGCATGGAATATCATCATTTAAGAAACATGGAATCATGGGAAAGAACAAAGCACTTAGTAGACATACGGGCCTTGATTAATGCTCAAATCATCATTACATTCTGTTAACCCTTGCTTTGGCTATGCAAAAGATGAGGCCCCAGATGAATAGTTTTGACAAATCTTCAAGTTGCAGCAAAATATTGGCTGCTGGCCTCGGGAGTGTGTATAAAATGGTACAAGTGATCGACAGACTAAACTTTAGCCACCGTTTTCAAGCCCTTAGTTTCTTGTAGTAAAGTTGAATTTAAGAGATCATTATGCATAACAAACCCTGATTTTGTTGGTGCAATCCAAAACAAAAGATCTGATTATGTAATTCTGCTTGTGGTCATGATGAAAAGTCATTTTGATTATAGACTTTCTCAACACTCCTTGCTTTCATGCTCAACTTTTTTCTAGTGTGCCCCATTTATTCTACCTTTTATAGTCCAGACATTGTAGCTCTTTACATCCTTTTTCATGTATCAAAGAGAGGGAAAGGTGTAAACCATCTCAGAGAGGGAAAGAAATGGGCAATTACAGGTTTAGATTGTCAGATATGATACCAAATGCCTGGTTTTACAAGCTCAAGGACATGAGCAAAGGCAGAAAGCAATACACCTCTCAAGCTTTCAAGAAAAAACCACCCCCAGGAAATGTAACATCACAAAAACCCAATAGTTCTCATCAAAGATACTCTTATTGCTTCACCACAGAACCTGGAAGAGCTGAGAAATTCCATTACAATTCACCTGTAAATCCAAAAGCCTCAGATACTCACTTTCCTGATCTACCAAGAAAATCATCCAATAAAAGAAACAAAAGAAAAACCATTTACAAGCCTTCTCCAAAACTGGTCTCCACATTCTCTGCTGATTGTAGCTGTCGCGTAACGGTTAACTCAAACCTGACCAAGTCAATTCCAGGTGATTCACCTGACTACTCTAGCTCTCCTGCTGAAAGCTCCTATGATGAGCTTGACTTCTTATCAGAATCTGATGAAGATGACGGTTTTCTTGTTCCTGATACAATTGATCATCAATTATCATCCTGGTCTAGCTCTTGTAACTGTAATGTTAGCTCCTCAACCGCTGACATTATCATTGACATGAATGAAGAATCCTATGAAAGGAAAATCAAGGAGGTTGAAGGGTTTGGCAGTATCCCCGAGCTAGAGCTTCCTCGAATATTGACCAAGCCAGCAAAATTCAACGACAAGGCAACTGAAGTTACTCAGTTCAGAAGAAGTTCATCTAAATTGGAAGGGGTAAAAACACATAGGTCTCTCTCTGTCAAGATTGTCAATGAGAAAAGCTCTAGGACTCTTAAAGAGCAAAAGAAGAATCCTCCTACAAGAAAGTCCTCAGCGAATTCGACAGGGATAAAACTCCGAGCTAATACTCCAAGAATTGCAAGCAGGAAAATCCAGGCTTGTGCTCGAAAAGGTGTGTCATTTTCAAGAAACAAGACCCTTTCAGAGAGCTTCGCGGTGGTTATGTCCTCAGTTGATCCACAGAGAGACTTCAAGGATTCAATGGTGGAGATGATTGTGGAGAACAATATCCAGGATTCAAAGGATTTGGAAGACCTTCTTGCTTGTTACCTTTCACTCAATTCAAGAAAATATCATGATTTCATTGTCAAGGCATTTGAGCAAATCTGGTTTGACATGACTGACCTTCACTTGTAATTGTAAAATCTTGTTAGATTTTCAGATGCATGAATACTATGATCTTGTAAATGTTACAACTTGAATGAAAATTTCTACCTTTCTTACAATCATTGGCTTCCCAAGTTGAAATATTTTAGTTCCAAATTAATTTTCCTCGGTCTCATGAAGAATTTTTCCAACCTTATGTTGCCTCCTCTCAGGGGGATTCTAAATTTTTAAATCCAAGCAAAATTAACCACTAAGTCAATAACTGACAGTAGAACACTTGACTTCTGTTTCTGTGAGTAAACTAAAAGGAAGTTTGACATTTGTCACAACAGGCTCCTGTTGGTATCAGATTGTCTGAAGAAAACAATCGGCTGAAATGCAAGCTAATGGATCATGATGAAGGACTGAATGATCATAACATGCTATGATTGCCAGCTGCATGAGCATGAGCCTTTTGAGTTTGAGACATGGTTGAAGTGAAAGTTGACTTTGAATAGACAAGACTTCCTCATGCATGGATAGCTTTAAACAAGGTTGGTTGAGTGAGGTCAAATCGTATTTGGTAAAGAATACCTTAATAATTAACTTACGCAGAACCTTTATCATGCTATTAAAGATAACATCATAGGCTTGATTATTAACTTTCACATCTTAATTTTGCATTTAATTTGTAACTGAAACAACTATTAGAAAATTTGGATATTCAAAGAGAACTGAAAAATGGTGGCACTCAACTGTATAAACCTGCTCTCAGACTTGCCGTTGCTTTCCTGCTTAGGTCCAGATAGGCCGGATCACGTGCCGGTTCGGTATCGGAAAACGTTTAACCTAAAATATGAATGATCAGAATCCTTACACAAACAGGTAGTCTTGTACCTTGGTAAATTTAAGAGACATATTCACACCATTATTGAACCTTTTAGCAGAAAGCTGTTTCATAGCCAATATATAGTAAAACAGGACCACAAATTCTTATGTTACCTTGAGTGGTATAGAATTGGCGCTTTGGTGACAAGTTATGTCCCTTTGTTGTTTGGCTATGTAGATTTGTTGAAGATTTTGAAGTTTTGAACTAACATGAAGTGCCAAAAACTATTTGTTCGATTATTTTCCGTAAATAAATCTAAATATGGGAAAATCCAAATAACAGGCATGCAGAGAGTTGTAATTTTTAACTTTTCAGGTGGTGGTAGCCCTTGCAGCAGCGTTTACACTTCATCTCTCTCTAGGTTTCTAAACTAATTTACCATCTCTTACTGCTCATTTTTCTGACATGTTTTGAATGGCTAGTCCCATCAGAAGAAAAGATAGAAGAAAACTGAATGGCCAGGACACGACTAGCATGCAGTTATGATCAGGAAATAAGCAAGACAGTCAATTTAGGTCAGTGTAATGGCCGCAGTTTTTTTCGGTTTTTATCACTTTAAAAAAAGATAAAATAACATAATACACCAAATATGTAGGAAAGGAGCGCAACTTTCTCTAAAGTTAAAAATAAACTGATACAATTTATGATAAAAAAAAGAGAATCAAGAAAATTAAAAAAATAAAAAGATCTCATACATGCACCAAAACTCTTATCATAATATCACTAATATAATTAAAAAATATCAATAAAATAAATTTAATAATACCAAAAAAATAAAAAATGGTGATGAGATTGAGCCATACAAGATGTCCAAATGTGTCAGGACTCATTTATCTTCGGACGACTCATATAGCACGCTTTAATCATCATTAATAACTTTATTAAATATCGTCGGATCCTCTTGTTGGGATCCTTCTAACGGTACTAATAATGTCGTCATTGGAGCTTTGACGTGCCTTTGAGATTTTTTTTTTACTTTTTTTTTCTCCTATCTCTTCACAAGAAAAAAAACAGAAAAAGATCTTAGAGGCATACCAAAGCTTCGATAATGACACCACTAGTACTGTTGGAAAGATCCCAATAAAACAAATCCAACGACATCAAGAAAGATCACTAATGGTGGCCAGAGTGTGCCATAAATTAGCTGTTTGAATGCAAATAAGCCCCAACATATTTGGATGGCTCATGTGACCTATTTTGGTCACCATTCGTGACCTTTCTTAGTGTCATTGGATTTTTCTCATCAATATCTTTCCACAAATACTAGTGGTGTCGTTATTGAAGATTTGATGTATCTTCGAGGTCTTTTTTTTTCTTTCTTTGTTTTCCTCTCTCTTTCCTCTCTTTTTTTATTGTAAATTGTGTCAGTCTATTTTTAAATTTGGAGAGGGTTGCACATGATACTTGCGACTTGTGAGTTGTATATGTCATTTATTACCTTTTAAACTATGCTTCTTTCTTAAATGTTTTTTGTACTATGTTATTTTATCCGTTTTACATAGTGCTAAAGTACAAAAATACTCTAATAGTTGTAGTGTAAACAATGAAATTGAATAGTAAAAACTAAATTAGTAATGACTATCACAATTCATTTCCTTTTGTTTTTCTAAGGTCAAGTTAATAATGTAGCTACATTTATCAACCTTATTCAGGTTAGCAAGCTATATAGTTCTTTCAAAAACTACATCATGAGAGAGGTTTAGTATAGCTGGGGATATGTCAGTTGAGAAAGGTTTGAATTGCCACAAGTCACCAGTAAAGACCACCACATCATCACATACCAGGTATGTATGTGAAGGAAGCAATGAGGACCACGCGATGACTTGATAAGGGATAACTCAACTTTCTAGTAGCCCCTTAGGGGGGCTCACCTATGATTACACACTTGGTGAGTCTCTTTTCATGAAAAACCACCCCCTCAGAACTAGTTACCGTTGATATAGTTTGTAAATGAATAAAAAAAATAAAAGAAACATAGTTATCCCACATTTCAAAGAAACACTCCCTCCCAAGTGTTTAAAAGTATGAATTTCTATTGTATAGTAAATTAAATGAAAGTTATGGTGGATTGGATCTCCTAATGAGTTTTCTAATATTATTATATGAATATTTATAATATAAAAAAAATGTGAAGTATGTATTCAAGCAAAGATGAAAAAAAATATTTTTTTAAAGTTGAAAGAAATTCTCAATTACTTGAGTTAGTCTATTTTGATGTATGTGAAATAAATAGTATGTTAACAAAAGATGATAAAGATATTTCATAACTTTCATTGATGATTATTCTTATTTTACCTATGTTCACTTGTTAAGAATTAAAAATGAAACCTTTGGAAAATTCAAAGAATTCAAAAGAATGGTAGAAAATCAAAAGGAAAGGAAAATTAAAATTTTTAAAAGTGATAGAGGTGGAGAATAATTTTTTATGGAGTTTTCTATATTTTGTGAGGAAAATAGAATAATTCATTAAATAACAATACCATATACACTATAACATAATGGATATGATTTTAGTAGATATGGTTAATGCCATACTTTTGAATGTTAAGTTATCAAATAATTTAAATGGTGAAGCTATAATTACTACATGTGACATTCATAATAGATTATTATATAAGAAATTAAATATTTCTCCTTATGAAGTATGAAATGGTAGAAATTAAAGTGTGGCGTATATAGCTTTATAAAATTTATGATCCTTAAATAACAAAATTAGGACCTAAAGGTCTTAAGAGTGTTTTTTTTTTTTGTTATGAATAAAATTCAAAAGCTTATAGGCTTTTAGATTTAGAAACTAATGTGATAGTTAAATCTATATATATTGAATTTATCAAAAATAAATTCATAAGTAATTCGCATGAGCAAAAACCAAATCTAAAAGTAATAACTCTCAACTCAACTATAAGTGAAAAATATAAAAATCTAGAAGTAATAGGTTTAAGTGAACATAGAAAGAGTCAAAGAGTTAGAAAAGAAAAATACATATACATATTTTATTTCTACTGATTCAACTGTATTTTTAGTTGAAAGTCATATAAACATATATTAAAAAGGACATCTATGATCCTAAAGATGGAAAATGATCAAAAGACATTATGTGAAGCAATGTATTCTAAAGATGTTGCTTTTTAAAAATAAACGGTGAACAATGAAATGAGTTCAATATTGTCTAACAATACTTGAGTTATACTAGATTTACCTCTAATTTCTAAGTTAATAAGATGTAAGTAGGTGTTTAAAAAAAATACAATACTGGTGGTTCTATACAAACTTTCAAGACAAGATTAATTGTCAAATGTTTTACTCAAAAGGAGAGTGTTGATTATTTTGATACTTATTCTCTAGTGGCAATAATTATATCCATTAAAGTTTTATTTGTATTAGTATCAATTTATAAATTATATGTTTATCAAATGGATATTAAGATGGCCTTCTTAAATGGAGATTTAAAGGAGGAAGTGTATATAAAGCAACCTAAAGGTTTTAAACTTCCTGGAAATGAGATAAAAAAGATTGTAAATTAGTATAATATTTATATGTTTTAAAGCAAGCTCCAAAACAATGACATGAGAAGTTTGATAAAGCAATTTTATTAAATGGATTTTATCATATTGGTATCGATGAGTGTATGTATTCTAAATTTATAAAATATTTTGGTGTGATTATTTATTTCTATATAGATGATATGTTAATATTTAGCAGAAATATGATTGAAATAGTTGAAAATAAAAGGTATCTCATTTCTATCTTTAAAATGAAAGATTTTGATAAAGTGAATACAATTTTAGATATTAAAGAGAAGAAATATAGTAGTGGCTATGCTATTAATCAATCATATTCTGTTGAGAAAATGCTTGATAAGTTTAAGCATCTCAATATAAAGGAGGCTAATACTCCATTTGACTCTAATACGAAGTTAAATGATTATTCTGATAGAACGATAGCACAACTATTATATATTAGTGTTATTAAAAGTCTTATCTATATTATGCATTGTCAAGATCAAATATAGCTTTTGTTATATGCAAGTTATCAAGATATACAAATATGAAGAATACAAATCATTGGAGAGCTATTGCAAGAGTCTTTGGTTATCTAAAAAGAACAATCGATCTAGGCTTGTTTTATTCTTATTTTCCAGCCATGTTGGAAGGATATTATGATGCATGTTGGATAACTAGTTTGAGTGATAATATGTCCATATAAGATGGATTTTTCTTACTTTGAGGAGTTGTAATATCTTAAGAAACA